GAAACAAGAAAAGAAAAGGAATTTGTAAAAAACGAACTGCATTAACAAAAATTCTTACTGCTGCTAGAAAATCAATAATTCCTGGAAATGATGCTCGAACCACAATTCTTGCTGCTGTTAAATCTGCTAGAAAAGCTATCAAGGAAGCAGGTGGTAAAAAGAAAATTTCACCACCTCGCATTTTATCAATACCTTCAAAAGTTGGTGGTATCTTACCATTAATTCCAATATTTGCTGGTTTAAGTGCTCTTGGAGCTCTTGCTGGAGGAGCTGCTGGAATAAAAAAAGCTATAAATGAAGCGAGTGCAGCTAAAGAACAATTGAAAGAAGCTCAACGTCACAATAGAACAATGGAATCTGTTGCACTTGGAAAAGGGCTTCATTTAAAACCGTATCGACAAGGGTTAGGACTAAACTTAAAACCCTATCAAAGAGGACAAGGAATGAGAAAAAAAAAACGTAAAAATTCCTCAACGTGCATTAACAAACTATGATTTACTCAAGTACTCTAAGGAGTTAAATATTCCTTATTTTCGAGGTGTTTTTATGCGAAATGAATTACCAAAAAGAGGACCTCGAAAGATTGAGTCAGCGATTATTAACCTTGACGATAAAAACGGTCCTGGAACACATTGGGTAGCATATAAAAAAGGTTAATAACAATGTAGTGTACTTTGACAGTTTTGGAAATCTTCAACCCCATTGGAGCTTGTCAACTATTTTGGTGATGATATTTTAATAATGTATAATTATGAAAATTATCAAGATTATGGTACTTTTAATTGTGGTCATTTGTGTCCTCAAATTTTTATGTAAACAAATTGAAGTGAATAAAAAGTCTATATAAATGAAGTAAAAAAGTTTTATTAATCAGTTTTCAAAAAGACTTCATCATGGATGAATCGTTTACTATAACAATATCTGGTAGTTCATCGGTATTAGAGGCTGAATATTTTCCACCAATTGAATTATTACCTAAAAAAAACTATATTCTTGGACTTGTAGAACTTTTAACATTCAATTCAATTCCTAATATTGATGAAGGAAAGAATAAATTTTATATTGGTAATCAAGTAATCACTATTCCACCTGGCAGTTATGAAATTGAAGATATTGAAAAATATATTCAACATTCTGTTGCTAATGGAACTAAAGCTATAAGTATAAAACCTAATAATAATACCCTACGTAGTGAAATACGAAGCAGTCTTAAAATAAATTTTGAAAAAAAAGATTCTATTGGACAGCTATTGGGATTTGCACCACGACAATTAGAACCTAATAAAACTCATACATCTGATTTACCAGTATCTATACTCAAGGTAAATTCTATCCGAGTAGAATGTAGTATTACAACTGGTGCATATATTAATAATAAAAAAGTCCATACCATTCACGAGTTTTTTCCAATAGTACCAGCTGGATATAAGATTGTAGAAGTACCTTCACACGTCATTTATCTTCCAGTCGCCGTGAAGACAATACGTAATATTCAACTCAGAATTGTTGATCAGGACGGAGATTTAGTAAATTTCAGAGGTGAAACAATAACAATTAGACTACACGTGAAAACAACGTAATGGGCATTGTGTTTGACAGAAAATCTGGTGGAAGTTATATAAACGAGTCAAAATGTCAGAAAACATTCAGTCTCGATCCAGTTCGCAAGAGATTAACATCTCAGAACATACGTTTCTGAAACAGCTCGGTCTGAAAATTCGTCAAGAGAGAAGAAGAAGAAAATAAAACCTTTATTAGTGCACTTTTTATTTGCTGTTGTTGCAATCAAAATGGCAGAGACTTTGAATATACTAAGCCCTGTGAAATATGATGATTCATTAGCACATTATGAGATTCATTCTCATCAACCATATGTTTCATCAGCATTTAATAACAGTGATGAGATTAGAATTGCAGTACAACATCAAGATTTGTATATTTTACCCTGTAAAAGTACATTACATATACATGGAAGAATTTCAAAACCTGATAATACCAATGTCACAAACACAAAAATAACTAGCAATGGAATTTGCCATTTATTTAATGATATACGTTATGAACTTAATGGTGTTGAAATTGATGGTTGCAAAAATGTTGGTATCTCAACCAACATGAAATTTTACATTTCACAAACACCTAATCAATTTATGTATGCTGAGAATGCTGGTCATCTAAATGTTGATGATACTAGTAGAGTAACGGATGATGCTGGATATTTTGATGTAAATATACCATTAAGCATGATTCTTGGATTTGCTGAAGATTATCGAAAAATTGTTGTAAATGCAAAACATGAACTTATTTTAACAAGATCTCGTACAGATCTTAATGCTGTGGTTAATATTCTTGGAGTTGAACGTGAAGAATTTAAAATTGTAATTAATAAAATTGAATGGATGATTCCATATTTGTTTGTTAGTGATCGTCAAAAAATTGAATTGTTGAAATTTATTGAAAAAGATCCACTTATAAGTATGAGTTTTAGATCATGGGAACTGTATGAATATCCACTTATACCTGCAACTCAGAAACATGTCTGGACTGTAAAAACATCTACACAGGTTGAGAAACCTCGATATGTTATCCTTGGTTTTCAAACAAATAGAAAAGATAATCATGCAAGATATGCAAACCTTTTTGATGCCTGTAATCTCGTGAACGTAAAACTTTTTCTAAACTCACAGTACTATCCATATGGTAGTTTAAATTTAAATTTTAATCAAAACAAATTCTCTATACTCTATGACATGTATTGTAATTTTCAAACATCATATTATGGAAAAGATTCTGAGCCCATATTATCTAGAAAAGATTTTAAAGATTATGCACCATTGGCTGTTATAGATTGCTCAAAGCAAAATGAATTTCTTAAACAAGCTTCTGTAGATGTGAGATTGGAATTTGAATCTAGTGTAAATTTTCCCGCCAATACAGCGGCATATTGCTTGATTCTTCATGATCGTATTATACAGTATAAACCAATCAGCGGTCTGGTTAAGAAAGTAACATAAGTAGTGGGGTAAACCGCTAGTATAAAAGTGAAGAATTAACACAGAAATTCTCATTCTGCTGCAACCATGGACTTCATTGTGGACATCCAAGGCTTCAAGAAACCCTACAACGACTTCATCTTCAAGGAGCTGGCCATTATTCCTCTCGAAGAAGATGCTCAACCGATGGTATTCCTGTTTGAACCACCATGCAGTTGGAGTTCTCTACCTGGACGATATAAGAGTGAAAATATGTGGTTGATGCACAACTATCATGGACTAAAATGGACTGCCGGCGATGTGCCATATGACCAATTACAATCACTTCTACAAGATTTGTTAGCTGGTGCTCGTACGATTTATGTAAAGGGATTGGAGAAAAAGAAATTGCTTGAAAGATATGTAATTAATGTACGAAACCTTGAAGATTTTAATTGTCCTTCGCTTAAAAAACTTAAATTGGAATCATCGGCATATGTATGTACCTACCATACTCTATGTAATAAATGGTGTGCAGCAAGTAATGGATTAATGTTACGAAATTGGTTTTTCAAATCTGCAAAGGAATGTTTTGTAAGAAATGTTGATGGAGGTGTTGATGAAGTCGATAATGACAGTGAATATTTTACTGCGAGTTCTACTGAATCGCTTAAAGAATATTATGAAAGTTCTAAACATTTATATTAATAAAAAAAAAATTTTTTTAAAGAAATTATAAGAATTTGTCTATAAATTTTATCCCATCATATTAGTTTAAGACTATTGCTCATGCGCAAAATATAAAAGTAGGGTATAAATTGAGTCGTCTTCAGTATATATGCTCATTAATCGTTAGACAGTTTATACAATAACAATGAATTCTTCAAATCAACAAAAACCAGTGCCAGCACCAAGGCAGCCAAAACCAGTGCCAGCACCAAGACAATCAAAGCCAGAGCCTGCGCCAAGGACACCAAAACCTGTGCCAGCACCGAGAAAAAAGTAAAGTGGGGATATTTCATAGAGTGGGGGTAACCGTGATGAGTGGGGATCAACTCTCTTGAGCATATAATTCTGCGCAATTTAGAGTGGGAGAGAAAATGAATTGGTGGGGTTATCTCTCTCCACGAAAGCCTTTAAAAGGGAACGCGAAAAGACGATTTCTCATTCAACTGCTCCAAGCTGAACGGCAACCACCTCCAAGGACAAGCTGAACGACAGACACCTCCAAGGACAAGCCTGAGAAACAACATGGACTTCCAAAAAATCAATGCTGTTGGACGGATGGAGAGTAAATTCTTGCCCACGAAGCCGCTGTCCGAGCTATCTGCAGGAAGCGAATTCACGGTCACAAAGCTCAAAAAAGTTCAATCCAAATATGGAGATAGGATTGTTGCTGAATTAAACAAAAGTTTCAACATTTTCCTGCCTGCCAGATTTTACAAAGTATTTGAAGTTGAGAGCGCCACCTGGATAGCAATGCAAGATGCAGCGGTGAACAATACTCTAACATTGGTCTACCTTGGAGGACCGTATAATAATATTGAATTCAAAAACAACCATTTAATGTAAAAAAAAGAAAAATTTAATTTTTTAATGTCAATTAATAAACAAAAACTATGAATTTAACAAAGTTTTTATTATTTTACCTCAACATAATCTTATTTTAGTAATAATAAAGCACACATTTCAAATATAAAAATTTATTTCAATAAAATATTTTTTCTATATATAAACAGCATTTTTTTAAATGGAAAAAAATTATCTTAACCTAATTTCAGTCTGAATTTGACAACAATAATACAGTTTTTTAATAAAATAATTAATATATATAAACAATGAATCTTATTCTAATCTAAATATAACTTTGGTGTAAATAATGAAAAAAAATTAATATAAAAAAAAATAGAATTTCTTAACCTAATAAGTACACATTTGGTATAAAAAAAGTAAGTCTTTATAAAATCTTTATAGAATATAAAAAAATATAGAAAAATTAATATAAAAAAATAGTTTCTTTTATCCTAATAACCTCACAATTGGTATAAAAATAATAACTTTAAATACATATTAAAAAAAAACTATCATATAAAAATACCATGAGTAATACTAATTTTGCTTTAAAAAAATGTAAAAGAGAAGCGTCTCACTTTGAATCGTCTTTGGTTGGCTTTGGTTTCTTTAATTGTAATGTTGTATTTTTGTTTTTTAATGCAGTGATTTCAGTCTTTTTTTATTTTAATTGTTTTTTGTCTTGGTGGAGTTTTTTTTAAGGGACTTATTGGAGCTGCGGGTGGAGTAGGGTGTGTTGGTACAATTAAACCGTCTATCTGTTCTTTGGTTGGTGTTGTTGGTGTTCGTGGAGGTGTCAGTTTCTTAGAATTTAATTTTATATTTCTTTTCTGTTCTGTATAAAAAAAATCAGGTGTTTGTGTAGATTTGGATGTAGATGGCGTTGGATTTAATGGTGATGGTGGTGAGTCGGGTGTGTATGATTCTCGTAATGGTGCTAAATTATTGCCGATTTGTTCGTGGAGTGGTGGTGACATTGGTGATAGTAAAAAGGTGGTAATTTTTTTTCCTTTGGTGGTGCTGGTAGTAAAAATGTAGATGGTGTTGGATTTAATGGTGGTGGTGGTGAGTCGGGTGCGTATGATTCTCGTAATGGTGCTAAATTATTGCCCATTTGTTCGTGGAGTGGTGGCGACACTGGTGATAGTGAAAAGGTGGTAATTTTTGGTGGCATTTCAATTTTATTATGTAAAATCAGTCGAGTACGATGTGGAAAAAGATTGTTGGATGTAACAAAAGATGAACCCATTTCTTCGGGAATCGGTTGAAAAATTTCACCTTCTACGGGTAGCGGAAATCGTGCAACCGGTTCTGCTACTGGAGGAAATTGGTCCTTGTCCTGTTAAAAAAATAAATTTTGTATGAAAAACGAAAAAAAAATAGTTTCATAACTTTATTGCAGTAAAAGAACCATTATTCTATAAGAGTGAGAGAGAAGGAAACACCTTAAGATTACTCTTTCTCTCTCTAACACATTGCGTAGTCTTACGTTCACAGCTTGGAAACCGCTTGCGTAGGCAACCGCAACAAGAGTAAGAGAGAGTATCTCTGTCTCCCTCACACCAATGCGTGCTGCTTTACGGTACACCCACAGCTTGTTACCGCTCACGCATGCATTCAAGCGGTTGCCAAGTTCTGAATGCACCTTAAGTCAAACAGCATAAGAGTCTACTCACTACATGTTACACTATCTATGTTTTAAAAATTTGAATTTAGAAAAACAAATTATTGTTTTTAATAATTTATTCTATTAACTTTAAAATATATTTAACGTTTAAAAAAAATCTTTAACTTACAATTTCTTCGATGTAGGCAAATGCTTTCTCTCCTGAGTTTATGTGCTCTGGCAATATTCTCAGGTCTGGTATGCGCGGTGCTTTCGAAATATACCTGCCAATTTCCTCCTGTCGCAGTTCCTGAGGAATCTATAATATTTATGTTTTTATTAATTTTTAAAAATATTTACATCTAATTATTATTATAAAAAAATTGTTAAAAAATAATAATACATTTTTTTTCATTTGTTTATTAAAATTTGTTAAACTATAAAAATAATTCTTAAAAATATTACTTATTACTTTAAATTTAAAACATAATTTTTATTATTATTTTAATTTTAATAATTTATACTCGTTTCTTGTTTTAATATTTTCATTAAATATAACTAAATATTTTAAAAATAATTATTAAATACTTACTTCTCGAGCTCTCCTTTAAAATTCTTGTTGTAAAGTTGTTATTAACAACACATTAGCACCAAATGTAAATTTTGGTAATGGTAAATCCATTACCTCTCTGTATCCATTTCCCGATTTTCTTGGATCTTTTAAAACAGTGTGTGTCACAGTCGCAGTCACTTTTGCTCTTTCCATTTTTTTTTTAAATTTTAATAGTAACTCTAATTTTTTATAATAATTTTTAATTTTAAAAATAAAAGAATAATTTTTTAATAACAATTATAAATTTTTAATGCTAAATACAATAATATTTACGAGAATTTAAAGTTAAATAATTCTCCTATAAAAAAAATACTATTCCAGTCGAAAATTGCTTTAATACTGATTTCATTCATTACATCTCTATCATGTTGACAGATTTGTTTATGTGTTCCTAGAATTTGAAATTTGATCAAGGGCCACATACTTGAAAATTTTAGAGGGTTTTGTCTATATATTTTTTAAAGGTATATTCGAATGAAAAATCATATACATGAAATGGACAGCGCATGTGCGACGGGCCTGATGCTTTAAGCTAGTCTTATGAGTACGCTGCCGCATAGCTTTAAGGTAGTCTCACGTTGCTCTGACGTCACACTGGCAGCCGCAACTAGTGTAAGAGAGAAAGTTACTCTGTCTCCCTCACACCAATGCGCTGCGTATAACGGTAGGCTCACAACTTTGTCCAACAAAACTGCGCCACAGCGGTGATTTAGGGAAACACAATCGATCGATTTTTTAAGTGACAATCAATAGTGTAATCTATACAGTATAGCTACAGTCTTGATCTTTATTTTTAATGTTAGCAGAAGTCAATGTGCAATGTTTTTGTTTACAACATGAGTTTTGTTATTAATGATGAAACGTTTAAACGATAAGTATAATTTTATAAAAATGAGTTAATTAAAAAATTATAATTTTAAAATTGTAAAATTATTATTTCCTTTGTAAACAAATTACTTCTAACCTTAAAAGATTTTGTATTATTTCCAATGTTTTGATATTTTCAATGGAAAATTTTACTTTTTTTATAAAGAAATTAATTGCAAATAATGAATTAATAATAGTTAAATAATTTGCATTCTTTATTTAGAAAACTATTTTAAGGTTATATTCTTAAAAATTTTTAATTAAAAATAGTTTATGAATTTGTATAGTTTAGTTTAAAAAATGATTTTGAGGTTATGTTTATAAAATAGTTTTAGGTTATTATATAAAATGTCAAAAGTATTATATTTTCTTGAAAAATAATTTTCTTTTTTTTATTTAATATTTATAGATTGACATTTTTTTTTGTTTGTAGTTGAGAATTGAAAGAGAGTATTGTTATTTTAAAAAAAATATTTGAATATTTTTATTTTAAAAAATGTAAAAAAATATACTGAATTTTTTTCTTTTTTAAATTTTAGATGAAAATTCAAAAAAATTTAAATTCGTAAATTTTGATGGGATCGACGATGATGATGATGATGATGATGATGATTACGATCGCGACGATGATGATTGCGACGATGATCATGACTCTGACGACGACGATGATGATTATCTCGAACATGATGCCTACAGTAATGGCAACGACGATGATGCCTACGGTCCCTGCGCCTACGCCTGCAAAAACATTTGGTACACTCCTCTGATATATTCTCCTTATCCTCATCAAATCCAGAAGTAGGAACTCGAATTGGAGAAATAGCTGCTTCCGGAGTAATTGGACGGACTGGTGACATACTCATTGCTCGAAGCTGAAAATTTTAAAATTTTTTATTTTTCATACTATACTCGAAAAAAGTATGAATTTTCTTTTAAAATTAAAAAAAAATTACATTTTCAGCTTCATCGTCTTGTTGATCCGTCTGTGTAGACGAATCATGGACCCAGACAACACTCAAGTAGCCTGGAACATCATCAACAGCTCTCGACTGCTCCGGAACATCATCAACAGCATCGTCAGAGTCTTCCCAATTCAAAAGTTCCTCATCCCGGTACAGAGCGCTGCGAGATGGACTCCAAATATCGTCATCATCCGAAGTCAGGAGAATCGTTGTTGCCGGGCTGCTTTCCATCTCTGCTGCTGAGTTCTGCATGGTGCTCTGCTATCATCTGCGAAGTGATTCGCTTCGCGGATCTCGCTGCCTTTTCATAGCACCGTCCACTCTCCCACCATTCACGAAAGACCCCACCACCTCTTGGTGGGTGGTGATCACAGCCCCACCACAAGTGAAAGGTGTAAAAAGGGTCAGGTAGAAATTTAACAATTTCAAATATACGCGCCATAACCGACTGCAGCGCTAGTGGCGGCCTCGCGAACTAATTTCAAAAACGCGCGCCATTCACCGACTGCAGCGCCAGTGGCGCCTCTAGCGTCAGCCTTGAGAACTATCGCGTAGAACTCACTTTGTTTATCTACTGCTCATAATATTAATTTTTTCATTATATACTATTATATACCGAATATTTATTCATAATATTAATAATTTGTAATACACTGAAAGATTGATAAAATTTGACCAATTTTTTTGTTGTTTTTTACTGATAACCATAAATTTTGTCATTGACAATAAGTTAATTTTAACTTATTGCAGAAGTAAAATGTCAGTCATTTATGGTTAGTTAACCCAGTGATTTTTAACTGATTCAAATTTAGAGAGCACAATTAAAATATAATTGTTCTTGTCGTTTCACGAATATTTATATTTTATATTTTGTAACCCTTATAATGCAAAGCATTTCCTTCTGCATAAATTTTAAAATTATTTTATTAAACAGTTGGTTACTTAATGTATCTATTGGACTGAATTCAGATTTATAATTGTTTAACCTAATATTAGAAAATATTTACTCGGAAACAAATCCCTGTATTTACAATAAATTCTATAATTATTATTCTACACAAGTAATTTATGCTTACAAATTAAAAACCGAGAAATCTAAAAATGTACTATATAAACAACTTTTGGGAATTTCCCAAACGTAGCATGAGCGCGTAAAGTAACCCTGAACCGCAGGGGTTCTAACTATCTTTTCTTTCGGGTTTCAGTAAGTGAGAGAGAGAAAGAGTGTCTATTTGCTCTGCTTTTTGAATGCAATTTTTCTCTAAGTCCAGATTCTCAGACCTCCGAGATGGTCGAGCGGTTAAAGCGTTTTATCTTGCGTCCCCTACGTCATCAAAACCTGCGTTGCGATATATACACGGAAAAAATAAGTTCAGCAGATTTTACGAAACTAATTACGCACTAGCGGATATTTAAGATTCCTTGACGAAGTTTTTGAAACACCCAGAAACTTTCACTACTTTAAGCAGAACAATTTTCGAGAAACTGCAACCAGTGTTGTAATTTATAAAACAAGCTTGAATGTAGAAATGTTTCGTATTTTCTGGTGAACATTTTATCAGAAAATGGTAAAAATGTTTCGTGCAATCTAAAAACGCGTGGTTTGAGTTTTCACTTCGCTGTCTATCGTGAATTCTCGAACACAGAGTTTCGTAAAATTCTATACGGGGTGTACCAAAAGTCGCGTTATAAATAGATATGTTGAAGCTTGTCTCGTCGTGTCGGTATTAACTTGTCTGCTGTTTATAGAGATCAATATGTGGAAGGAAAAAGAGAACTGCTTTACCTGCCGGTAACATTTGGATAATTGTTTTCTTTTACGTATTTCACATTTCATTGTTCCAAATTGGTAACATTTTTTATGTGATTTTGTAATCCAAACTTTTAATTATTATTAATTTCTTTTAATTTACATTCCAATAAATTTTATAATTTATCATAATATTTACCGATGACAATAAATATATATATATATATATTGACGTGAGGGATTTTTCCTCACTTTTAATTATTTGATCGATCCGGAAAAATGAGCGACCTTACGGTATTTTCACCGTAGGTGGCGCCTGTTCTCGGCCACTTACCGGTAAAGCTACGCAATTTTCCATATTAATTACATGAAGTGCTGTGTGGTGCGCATACGCGATTCGTGCGAATATGACTTCGCTCAGTGCGTAGATATAAGCGGATCACCGAATTATGTACTTCGACAACCGTACCCGACCTCTCATTGCCTGGAGGGGGAGGTACCGGTTCGAGCTAAGAAATAAAGGCTATACTTGAAATTACTCAAGTCGGCTTATTTTTTTCCTATACGGGTAGTTCTACAAACAAGGGAATATATGATGTCCAAGGTTTTTTTTACATTAATTTTGAAAGAAATAAAATTATTTTCAATGGGAACTGTAGTACTTAATGATTACTATTATGCCACAAAACGTTATCCGGTTTCAAAAAATATTTTTTGCAAAAAATAAGCATTCAAGTGCTAAATTCTCAGTTTCCTAACATGTCCCAATGTGAAAATGAAAGTTAATAAATTATATAAATATTATTTTTAAGCGATTAAATACAAATTTACACTTTGATAATAATTTCAAATAGTTGTACTTTACAAAGATTAAAATAATTGTTACATTACTTGATATTTTATTTAAAAATATTATCTTGAATTTTGTCCATCGAATTAATTCTCAGTTTCCTGGCATCATAAAAACCGTTAAAATTATTAAGAATTTTCATTCCGATTAATTCACCATTTTTCACAGTGCTTAGTAAAGGTTAACTAAATATGATATTACTTGCATTTTACTTAACTTGCAGTTCAATTAATTAAAATTGTGTACTTTGTGACTGAAATGGCCATTTGGTCAGACAAATTCTCAGTTTCCTGGCACGCATTTAAAAAAAATATTTTATGTTTTTATACTTTTGTTGTTCTAGGTGTCGTAGAACCTTATTCCCTGTTGACCAGTATTCTTTATTTTGTTATTAAGCATTATTTTTCAATTTTTTAGACGAAAAATGACCAAATTCTCAGTTTCCTGGTTCTCAGTTTCCTGGCACTTTCTGACAGAATACATATGTGCTTAAGATGTAAAATTTACAATTTTTATTTTTTTGACTGGCCACTTTTAGGTAACTTTGATAATACTTTTAACTTCAATCTAACCTACTTTTTAAAACCTGAACGTAAAAAAAATATTGTGCCAAAATTTTCTTCATTTTCGTCCTTCGTTTGTAGAACTACCCATACCCATTTTCCTATCTTCCATGCTACGAGCCTCGACCAGCAGCCAGAAGGAGAAGGAAGGAAGGAGAGAAGGAAGGAAGCTATTCTCCAGCCGCCCTGGGTCCCCCACCGCCTGCCTGCCAATTCTCTCCTAACCACGATGTCAGCAGCAAGGCCCCCATCGTCCGCCTCACTGCCACGACCCCCCCCGCTCAACGTCGATACCAAAATTCAACCTGCATCGCAGCACCGAGGGTTGCATTGGTTCCCCATGCAGTTCCCCATAAGGGTTAATTTTCATTTCCCCTAAATTCTCGCGGGTCAACCGGCCACTCTTAAAATACTAAAAATTCAATCTACCCTTTTAAAAGTTTCGCAGCACTCTTCTGTGAACAAATTTGACGAGAGTTTCCCTACCCGTAAAAAAGGGAAATTCGCCCATGTCAAACTGGCGCCCAACGTGGGGCCCGAGTTAAAAAAGTTACTTTTACCCACCCTGCTTGTCTCTATTGCTCTCCTTTAAAAGAAATTAATTTTTCTTTTCTCAAATGTTCTCTCGTGAAGAAATTAATTTTTCTTTTTTCAAAACCGCCCCCTGTGGCTTCTAAATATTTTTAAAAAAAAATTCTTCCCCCTGTGGAAAAATTTCTAAGTCACCCTCTCCTGTGGGACTTAGCTTAAAATTAAATGCCAACTACCCCCTGTGGTAGAAAATTCTAAGTCACCCTCTCCTGTGGGACTTAGCTTAAAATAAAATTCCAATCACCCCCTGCGGTGCACATTGTTAAAAAAAAAATTTTTTTTTCTCTCCACCCTTTGGAGTTTTTCTTCTTTTAAACCTCCAATGGTCCAGACCAATTAAATCTGGTGGCGCCCTCCTTTAAAATATTTTGTGTTTTTTGTTTCAAAGGTAAAAAATAATACCTTTATTTCAAATTCTCTTCTTGATCAATCCGATTTTGCGGGATTTGCAAATACCCCCCCTCCCCATTCTACGATGTCTCGGCGAACGGAAGAACCGACACCAGGCCCGTCCGGAACTCAGCCTTCAGGATACCGTCCACCTGCAGCTGAGAGAACTTCACCGCCAGCATACAACGATCTCATCCCTGGATTCTCAAGACGTATATCAGGCAGTCTTCGAAATCAACTTCGTTTGGGTGGGACTTCACATTCGGTAAAACCGTGATTGCCCCAAACGTGTTTCCCCTGAACAGCAGACTTCGTCCGACCAACAGGGAAACTGGTGAAAAAGGGCAACTCAAGATTCTGCTGCCCACCCATTAGTTTATCTTCGAGTATATCTACTCTACAAACATGCGTTCCAATTTTTGTTATGTTCGAATTTAACAACTAAATAAGTTAAGTTCTTTTTGATTCGGCCTCTACCGACTTACCTCTCTCCCCTATAGTTAAATAATTAACCAATTACCGTGAGAGTAGAAGTATTAAAAAAGGAGTTACCCTAAATATTCTCGGGTAATTTAGATTAAAATTTCTAATTAACAACCGAATTAGAAAAGAGATGTTTCTAATCTCGGAATAAATTTCCAATCCCATGGATAGAAGAGCACCAAGTAGTCTACGACCGATCCCGCCGATGTATCCATATTGGAAAACAGAACCGAGGTACCAACTATTTCGGAAATCACACTCCCTCCTTTTCGGTAGAGAATCTTGATCATAGTTTATTAAGACGGTATCTGACATTCCGACAGATTACCGAACATTAATTTTAAATGTTTCGTTTCGATTTCGGGAAACCGTTAACCCTGTGGGTCCCCTGACTCAAACCAATTGTATGGTCCACGAAATCAAATTATTACTCCATAAGCCATTTAACATTCGTTCTAACTACTGCTGTGAAGAAAATAAATGCAGCTACCGGTTTCACACCCAGTGAGATTCTTTAGGGACACAATTTAAATAGACCTGGTGATTGAACACTCCCCCTCTCAACTTATCAACATCCAAAGGACAGAGTTGTTCAAGCCAGATAAAATCACGGTAAAATATCTAAGTGCCGCCACGACTCCGACGGATAATTCTCCCTACAAACCGGGCGATCTCGTTTATTTAAGAAACTACCAATTGTCAGACGCTTCATAGCAGTTCAACGCCTCATTAGCTCCATTAAGAAGAGGACCTTACCCTATTATACGTCATCTACAAGGGCAAGTGTATGAACTAAACCTGATCAGCCGAACAACAAAAGCTCACAAGTCACAATTATGGCCAGCGAGACCCCGGACAGTCACTCTTACCGATCAGAGATCAGCAACAATTGCCCCCACTCTCCAACAATTACAAGTTGTCGAGAACGGTCTAAGAGTAGGCCTCCTTCAAATCCCATAGTGACCCACATCTATCCTGCAGCGCCTCTGATTCGCCGACGAGGATGACTGAGGAAAAAGATAGTGACCACTCCAGAGGATCCA